ACCATAGCATGTACTGTCAATTTGAAATTCATGAGAAAATAAATGAAATATCTTCATGGCCTATGTTAGGAAAAGGATTCCTAAACAAATTCTAACCTCATGAAAGAAAATGATATTGGTTAATAGAATTCCTAATTAAGAAATACTATTTTTCCAAAGATACAATTTTTAAAATAAAATGCAATACATTGGGTAGAAAGCAGATTTCTAATATCTGGACATAAATGTAGATATAGATCAATGTGTTGGCATATATGTCAATGTATATATAGGAATACAACCAGTAAAGAGCCTACCTCCAGGTACACACATGCATTCACATACACATGGGAAATGTACTCAATTTTGTCAATAACCAGGGAGACACAAATTAAAAATACACAACGAGATAAGACTATACACATATGACAATAGCCGGGTGCCGGTGACTCATGCCTATAATCCTAGCTACTTAGGAATATTAACTATTGATAAGGATGTAGATAAAAAGCAATTCCTTTGCACAATACATTGCAATATATTGTCACAACCACTTTGGAAAAGTTTAGCTAGCATCCCACCCCTACAAAATAAATTCATGCCTGCATGCAAATGACATATGAAAGAATGCTTGTGGCACTATTATTTGTAACAGTCAAAACTTAGAAGCAACCAAAATATTAATAATAAAAGCATAAATAAATTGTGGTGGTTACTTAGAACTGAGTAAATACAGCAACGAAAAATAAAAAATTACAACTGTATACAATACAGATGACTACCATGCATATAATGTTGAGCAAAATGTCCCCTCCAAAAGATTACATGTTAGGTAATTCCACGGATATCATTTTAAATGAGACAAGTTACGTTACATTGCTACAAGTCAGGTAACTTTGGGAGGAGGGTGAGAGCAATGGTTGGGAAGGGCCACAGAGAAGTTTCTGAAAGACAGGCATGTTGTATTTCCTCCTTCTGGTTGGGTTTATGCAGGAGTTCAACTTGTGGTTAAGCACCCATTGTGCATTTGTTTTATGTACTTTACTTTTGTGTGCTATATTTACCCCTCAAAGTAATTTTGAAACTAACTAAATCAGAAATCTTGAAAAAACAGCTTAGAGACCTTGGGGCTGGATTATCAGAAAAAAGAAGAGGTACATAAAGTGAATGGGATTTAATGCTACCTTCACTCCTTACTTTCTCCTTCTTTAAACAAAACTAATAGAGCAGGGACTATTTCTTCCAACACTGAGAAACTGACCTACTGAATGCAATGTACTGAGATGGGGTCAGATATTTAAAAGTGGGGATTAAAAAGATTATTAGTAAAAGAATAACAGGTTGTCTAAGGGAGAAAGGAAAGGTGTTCTTTAGTGGGAGAGTTCACAATTTGAATCCTGAAGTTTTCTTCCTAAGGAAAACATGGAAGAGGAGCCTGGAGGGAAAGGCATTAAGAAGAAACAAACAGGAGAGAGAGGGAGATAAAGGGCAGTGAAATGGAAAAATCAGTAGAAGGGAGAGAGATGAAAAAGGAACACGGAAGAACAACAACAACAAAAACTGACTAGAAGAAGGGAAAACCAGAGGCAAGAAACATGGCTAAACAATCCACATCAGACACCTGGCATGAATCAGGCATGTTGCCAACATACTATCTTTAAAACCTCATCAGCCCTCTTAGGTAGGTATTATCTTTCTTACTTTACAAATTAGGAAACTAAGCTCTAAGCAGTTATTTTAAGGGAAAATACCAAGAAATGTCAACCTAGCTATATGCAACTCCAAATGCTATGCCCTAGAAAACCACTCAATCTCAACATGGAGGATTCCCCATAGGAAGTAACACTTATGCTACACTTATGTTACCTGAAAAGACTTACCCTAGAGGGTGCCTTTGTCCTAAGAAGCAGAAAATGTTTGATCTTTTGGAATCCTATGTACAGATACATTTCTGTAATTGTACAACACTGTGTCAGTTACATGGAACATTTACTGCTATCTGACATCCTCTAACTCTGCCTTATTACTAAGGGGCATTTTAGAACCATCTAGAGAAACCAACAAAGTAATAGAAGTTCTGTTTAAATTGACAAATAATGTCTTATGAGAAAAATGGGCACAAGGCATAGTAATGCCCGATTCACAGTATTTGACAAGAGGCAGGAATACACATATGAAGTGGCATAGAAAAATCCAAAGGGAAACTCAAAGCTATAAAGTTACCTGGATTTCTTCAGGCTAACTGGAGAGCAGTAAAAATTACCAAAAGTGCAAAAAGTACCAAAGTGCAATAAAGAGTCCCCTAGAAGAAAATCATCTCACTTTGATAAAATTATGTATGAGGACAAATGAAATTTATATGCAAATACCACTACTTTGGGAGAATATGTCCATGTACTTGCAAAAAAGTATTATTCATTAATATTTTCACTTACAAAATTATTTTGCATTTATTGTGAGCCAAGAAAGAAACAGTGAGGGGATAAAAGGAGGAGGGGGTAAAGAGGAATTCACATGTACTGAGGATAGAGCAGGGAACATGTCAGATGCTGCCAAGGCACTTTTACAGCCCTGACCCCATATTCATTATACTCTCCCAAAAAAGGTATAAAAAATTAAACCAAACTACCTGTGAGGAATAATTACAAGTGAAAATCAATAAGGAGAAGATGGCTCATATTCTGCTCATTGATTTCCTGTGCATAGTGAGCCGAATTTGACTGTTGGTTGGAAGTTAGTTTGGCTACTTCTCATTTCTTTTTTAGCAGTTGGGTTCTCCTGTCAGTGCCTTTCGTGCTGGAGTCCCGCCTTGCTCTAATCACAGCTGTCAGCTAGTGAATGAGTTTGACACCCTGACTCCAGAAATGAGGGAATTCACAGCCCATGCATATGCAGTCAGTTCCTTCATTAAAGCTGACTGACATGAAGATATGGTACACTGCCACTGACTTATACAAGTGAGACAAATGGCTATGTAGATACAAGTGGGAATCTCCTTGATCAGAAACACCCAGAGAGCTCAAGAATCAGTCTTTCCATAATTCAGCCAGTGTTACTGAAAAGACTTATATTTTTATTACTGCAAAATTATAGATATAATCAATCACTTAAGAGGCAAATCTGTACACACACACACACACACACACACACACACACACACCCCTCAGATTTAGACACCTACCTACAACCCTAGCTTCCTTTCCAAATCTCATCTGGAGTCCCAGGTATTGAGCACCAAATGAGAGGACATTGCTATTGTGACCTGGCTTTTTGAGAAGTGTAAATTTCTTGAAGAGGAGGAAAAAAAGGGAAAATTACAGTAACCAAAATCACCTACTCCTTAACAAAAAATTGAATGAGAACTACAGTGTTTCTCCACCTAAATTTATATAAGTAACAGACTCAAGAGTTGAAAGACCATCTAGTAGAAAACCACCCAGTCCAAACTGTTCCCAAACATCCCCAGTAAGGGCCCATCCAGATTCTAGCTGCCTTCCCTAGCAACAAGCATGCCTTGTTAGGGTGGGAGTGCTCTCCAGAAATGAAAGCACAAACTGATCGATATTACAGGAAGTCATTACAGCACAGTCCTGATGGAAATGCATTCCAAGATTACGACTTGTATTCGGGAATCAACATCCATCCTCTTCCATCTCCAGGAATTCATAACATGACTCTGGCCATAAAAACTTCCTGGGCACTTCAAACAATAATTGGCCTCTTTTCTCTCAGACTATGGACAGTGTCCTTCAAAAGGACAGGTGACTTCTGACCATCCCTAAGTGATTTTTAACTTATTTCTTCCATCAGTTCCTTAAATACCCAGTAGAATCCTCTTCTGTGACAATGGCAATTTGTGGAACCTGCAGCACTGCAACTCTTCAACGAGCTGACAAGCAGTAAAGGGTGCTCTATACAACCAAGTGACAGCGTAAGTGAGATGGCACTTCCTCTACTGACTTGAGGGTAGGTAGACAGAGATTAATCTTGTTTATGATAAATATCATATGGGATATTTATCATGTGAGGTATACTGTAAGGTCCCTAACTTAACCTAACCTATTCCATTTTGTAAAGGACTCCATCTTGTCTGACAGGAAGGCTGTTTCACAGAAACAGTTTCCTTGAGTTTCCTAAACTCACGGGGAACCCCGCATGCATCCTGTTGAGAACATACTGCAACCTCATGTCATAAAAAAGAGACTGCACAAGAAACCACCCACCCACCTTGGAAAATCATGGAGAAACTGACCACCCTAGCTGCTTCCTGGAACAGCTAGCTGAACTATATTCCTTCTACATCTTAAATGCTTATAAACCCCAGCGCTAGCCTCATTCGGGGCTGATTCTTCTTAGTACCGGCCCCTTTCCTCCCTCGGAAAGTGAATAAAACTTTGCTTCTGCTTCAATTCCTGCTTTTCTGACAGCCGGCCTCACGGAGGGGGGCCTCACCTACACCACCCGTATCAGATGTATTTATACGACATATCGACCAAATGGATATGGATCACACATATGTGATGACCGTAGTGTCGGATGCGGCTACTATAAAAACTATGGCGGGGGCGGGCCAGACCTGCATGGGGTCAGCCAGGTCTGTCACCGACCCCATCTCGCGAACCCATCCCTTTTATTTGCCCCGCACATCCATCTCACGTGGACATCATCGTGTCGCACGTGGGCGCACGGCTTCGCTAGTGGCGCTCGTTCGTCCCCGCCGGGAACGCGCAAAGCGCACGGAACGGGGCGGCGGCCGCGCACGAGCCGCACTCATCCTAACGCGGCGAGCGGCACTTACTTTACCGCGAGCCTAAGGCAGTGTGTGAACCGACGGACTCACGCCGGGGGGCCGGGCTCGCCCCACTCTTCCCGCCGCCGCCCCCCTCGCCCCCCACATCAGGGCGAAACACAAGTGAGCAAGCGCGCGACGCCTGCCTTAGCGAACCTTCGCCTGCGATGTTCCGCCGAGGTCAGGGCGGAAGTCCCGCCCCTCGGCTGCTGCCCGACTCGCGCGCGCGCGCAGGCGCGGCCCCGACGCTTCCGGGAGGGCACTTCCTCCCTTGTCTCCTAGCAACGGCTGAAGCGTTGTTAACATCCCGGGCGGCTGTGGCACCAGCCTGAGCCCAGAGTCTTGCCGGCCGCGCGATGGTAAATCTGGGGGCTCCGTCCGCGCCCCGCAGCCGAGGTGGTGCCCGGCAAGGGCTATGGCGAAGCTGGTGGCTCCAACAGGAGGGGCGAAAGGGAGACCTAGGAGTTGGGAGATGTCTAGATGCTGGAAGCTATCTAGGGGATTGCCTTTGGGGAGTGGCGATTGGAGAAGGGTGATATCTAGGAGTTGGAAAGAGAGATTGAGGAGATGAAAGATACTGAGGAGGATGAAAATTCCTTTGAACCGGGAAGGTTTGCAAAACTCCCATGCTGAAAGGGGAGGAAGAGATGGGATGGGGAGAGGGAGGGAATGGAGAGGGGAAGGAGGAGACAGACAGAGAAGGGAAGAAACTGGAGACAAAATTTTGGAAAGAAGAGGAGAGAGAAAGAGAAGGAGGGAAGAAAGAAGAAAGGAAGGTGGGAGCTCTGAGACAGGAGAGAAAGGAGGTAACGTAGGGACTGAGAGTGTGCTAGGAGGAATCAGAAATCAGAAGAGAAACTCCTGGGGAAGGGGGAGAAACGAAAGAGCAGAGAGAGTTGGGGAGAGAAATAAAGGAGATCATGAAGACAGTGGTTGTAAAGACCAGTGGATACCGTCTTAAAGATCTGAAATATAATTAATTATTATAGAGCTATTAGACTTTAATGCAATTTCCCAAAGTGAAATGCAAACATCCTTTACAACATAAGACAATCCAATGCCAAATAACAGAGTAAATCACTTCATGATATCCTTTTTTCCCCCTCCCTTTGTATATGGGACCAAAAAGTTTCTGGCACTCTTAGGTCCTTAACACTGCTGTCATTTCTCTCTTGAAGAGCAGACCTCAAGCTCAAGGCTTTCATTTGAGTAGAATTTAATAATATGCCCTTTATTCATTTTGTTTGTTTTTACAGTCATTTCTGCTTATAACAAATGGTACCAGATTTTTATTTGTCATAGCAATTAATGGTTTCCTCTTAAAATGCACTTATTTAAGATTTGAATAGCTAATTTAAAGGGCATGATAGGTTAAAATATATAGATAGTATTTATAGTGGCAAAAAAAAATCATGAATCTAGTATGACAACACCTGAAATTCAGAGAACACCTGCTCCGGTGGTGGAAAAGAGAACATAAGTGCTCATGCCCACTTTAGGTGCAAAAGGAAACCATCTTTTAATTAAAGTAACATAATAGTCGCCTGTGTGATATTGGGGGAGAAAAAAACATACAAATCCTTGTGGAGAGTGCAGAATTTGCTATTTGAGTTCAGAATATCCAGTGATTGCTCAGATATGAGCAATGCACAAGTTTGGAAAAGATTATTCTTGAGCTTGTCATTTCTAGAGTGGAAGAAAACTGGTACAATAGGGTTTATGCATAAAGTTTATTTAAATAGATGAGCTTAAAACTCAGTCATGGGGTTCTGATGTAATCATTCATGGTTGAACACTTAGATTCCATGGAGGTTCAAGCTATAGTTGTCAAGAGAAACGTAGCATCCTGGATTATGTTGTTTTTATAAAAATACCCTTATGTAAATTTTTGTACCTACAGAAAGATCAATAACTGAAAGATGATCCAGAGCAGGCTTCTGTGCAGAGTACTAAATACTTTTCTAGTAAATGAGGACAAATAAAAATGGTGTGTGTGCTTGTGAGGTAGAGAGCTCTCTGTCTCTAGAAGAGTTCAAGTACAGAGTGTTATCAGGATTATATGGGGAGAGTGTCTTGCATATGGAACTTGATAATTTTCAAGCTGACCTTTAAAATATGAGATTATAGCACCCATCACCTTAGATTAGGAAGATAAGAGAATAAATGTCTTTCTAAACATCATTCTCTTTAGGATTGGTGTCACTGCAAAGACCCTTTTGGTGACTTGCCTCCCTTGTCTCTTCCAGGCAGAAGTAGAGGAAACCCTGAAGAGGATCCAGAGCCACAAAGGAGTTATTGGAACCATGGTGGTAAATGCAGAAGGTAAACATGTCGCACAAAAGCCAACCGGGAGCCTGTTTGTTATGTCAAGCCTTAAAGACACACATCTTAGAATTTGAAATCAGAAGACTTGTTTTGTATATTTTAGCCATAGCAGTTACATATCAAACATCTGTTGAGTATCTGTTACATGCCAGGCACTCTGCTAAAAGCTAGGGCTATAAATACAAATAAGCATGTCTAAAAGTATCTACATATTCATAAGAAACACTATAAATTATCTACTTTTTAAAACTTTGGTAATTCTCTTTCATCATTTCAGGAGTGCCCATGAAACTATGGTGTTAAAGATAGGAAGAATATCATGGTTGGTAGTATTCTTTTGTCTTATCATTATAAGGGTACAGTGTTTCAGTCTTCATTTTAAATGAAATTATTCCTTTAGCATATTTAGTAAAATTCTTTAAGAATTCATTTTAATATAATTCATAGGATAGTGTTTGTAGATACAGCGTAAGAAGGGCTAATACATTTCCAACAATGAAATCTGAAGACTTGCCACAAACTTACTCTCACTGCACAATACTTACTAAGAATCCACATAGCATTTCCTCTGGCAAATTGCTCTGTGTTCAGCCCTCTTAAAGGTTCCCACTGGTTTCATTGCTAATTCAGGCATTTGTAAAGACAAGAGGTGCCAGAAATTCCAGAGCATTGGTTGAAATAAGAATAGCTACTTCACATAATTCATGCTGCAACCATAGAATTGGCATGTAACCAGCTCAGTGCCTGGCAGAATCCATCAGTTAATACTTATTGTGCAACCACAAACTGAAAAATCTATTTAAACTCTGAATTTTATTTCCTTATCATTAAGAATGGAAAATAACCTACTTACTGGTGGTTGTGATAATAAAATGAGATAATTATCAAGTGCCCAGCACAGCAGCCAACACTTAATAGAACTGTGATCAAGTAATTCTAAGAATGTGGAAATATTCAAATTGATTTTTACAGAGGAAGCATTTGATTTGTTTTATAAGATAAAAAATAACTCAATGTCACATCTACATAATGAATATGAACATAATGAATTTACCCATGTTGAGTAATCAGAAGAGAGAGAGAATTGTGACCATCTTTACAGGTAAGTCAAGAGCTATGTCAAATATTTCCAGTAAGTGAACCACCCCAGCTTATGGATCTTGTTAAACTGATTTTGCTTCCAACTGTTTGTATACACTGCCACACCCCCTGAGATGAATTAACTGTGTGATTTCAGAGGGGCTGTGTTAGTTTCCTTTGACTGCAGAAACAAAGTACCAAGCACCTGGTGGCTTAAAACAACACATTTATTCTCTCAGTCTGGATGCTAGAAGTTGAAGCTAAGACATCTTTGGGTCAGGCTGTCTTTGGAGACTCTATGGGAGGAGCCATACTGGCTACTCCTAGCTTCTGGTGGCTGTTGTTAGCCATTGGGGTTCCTTGGCTTATAGAAGCATCACCCTAGTCTCTGTCTTCATAGTCCATGACATTCTTTTCTGTTTACTTACAAAGGCCCCAGTTATTGGGCTAAGGCCCACACTAACCTAGTATGGCTTGATTTTAACTAATTACATCTATAGAGACCCTATTTCCATATAAGGTTACCTTCTGAAATTTAGTGTGGATTTGAATTGGGAGGGCACTTCACCCCAGTAGAGATGCATTCTCTTATGGAACCCAGGCCAAAGCATCTAATGTGCTTCATGAGAATATCTTAATCTAGAGCACACAGTACTAATGATTTGTATCAAATGTCTGAAAAATATTCACACTCTTGATCTGTAATTCCACCCTTAAGGGGTGATGGAGAAAAGATTTAGATACAAGGATACTCATTGAGGCATCATAGGTAATGATGATAAACATACAACTAAGAAAATAACTGAACAGTAGAGGAATTTTTAAATTAGCTGTATAATATTTGGTAAACATGATTATTTAAAATGTTGAAGAATATTTGAAAAGTGTTGGTAATCTACTCATAATAGTAGATGAAAAAAGCAGGGAGTGAAAGATTAGCCGGCATTTTCTGGTCATTTATTTAGCGGGTACATGCATGCACTTAAAATGAATGTAAAAGAAAAGGCAGGGGTGTGTTGTGGTGATTATCTCTAAATATGGGATTAAATATGACTTTTTATTTTCATGAGGTTTCTCAATTGAAACTTCTCTTATCTAAAAGCAACAAAATACTATTTTTATACCCATTAACTTTTCATGAACCTCTTCTAGGATAAAGATTAAGGGCAGTTTCAAGGTTATGGATACTTAGTATTATCTGAATGTCAAATTAACCTTTTTCACAAAAATATAAATGAGAGGCTTCTTTGTAGTCAGATTATTAATAAGCAGATAATATACAAGGATGTTTATTAATGGCAAATGGTATAAGTTATGTGACCAGGATGTAATAAGATACTCAATCTCAACAGCTTACTCAATTTTAGATGAAAGTGCCATTTATTATAATGCAGATTTCAGCTTTCAGCAGCCTTGTGAAATTTAGTACTGAAAATATTCAACTAAGATGATGATTGTGTCCTCTTGTTCTCTGCCAGTGGTTTTGGTCTACTAATTATAGGCAAATTGTTTCAGTATATTTTCAGATGGTGTTTGTGGTTAGGTTGGTCAACCATTTATTCATTTAGATCTCATCATATGCCATGTCAAATATTAGTCCTTTGGTTTCACTCTGATTGAGGCATAGACTTCCTATTTATGACAATAAAGCAGACTTAATCACTTTCCCAATGCTGACTGGTATAGGTTTTGCTCACAGTAGAATCTTGGTTAACCTTGGTTCCCCATTTATAAAAACCATTCATTGTTTATAATATTCCAACATTTATCATTGCACTAAGTACTAGTGAGTATGAATATCTGTCTCCCAGGAGTCATGTCTGTTACATATTCATATGTATGTAAGCCTGGTTTCTCTAGGGTCTTAATTTTAAATATTCTCGACATTTCTAACAATTGCCATTTGAGTTTCATTAGATTTTATCAGCCATCCAGCCAATTCCTTTGATTTTGAAATGTAATCCATCAACAAAAGTACAAATGTGTAGTCAAAGATGACAGACTGAAAGAATGAGTACCAGCTTACTGGGATCATAGAGAGTCATATTTTTAAGTAATGCCATAAATTTGCCAATATTCAATTTAAAATATTATATTCTTAGTTCCAAGAGCTCCATTTTAGGAATTTACCCCACACAGATATACATATATGAAATGACACACACAAGGACATATTCTGTAGCCTGGTTGGAGACTGGGAAAAGCCTGAATGTCAATCAGGAGGTGATATGAGTTAAATGTATTACAAAACATCCACTCAACAGACTATTGTGCAGTCATTAACATGAATGACTTAGCTTTAGATGCACTCTCTCAAACAATTTCCCAAGGATACTAAATGGAAAATATTAAGGCACAGAATGATGATAACATTAAAATAAAGAATATAAACACAAACATGTACATTCTTGAATTGACCTACCATTATCTCTGGAAACATACCTAAGAAACTGGGAGCATTGGTCACTTTTCAGAAAGAAAGTGGGTGCATTTTATACCATGTGCTAAAATGACTTTTTAATAAATTGTTTTAATTACCATGCATGATACCAAACAAGAACTCAATAAATATTTCTTGATAGTTTATTTTCAGGTGTCTATGGTATATGTGAAAAATTCCCAAGTGTTTCCATAGTGTGTACTTGTTATACAGAAAGGCTAACATTTATTTATTTATTTATTTATTTATTTTTATTGTCTTATTATTCATATGTGCATACAACACTTGGGTCATTTCTCCACCCTGCCCCCACCCCCTTCCTTACCACCCACTCTGCCCCCTCCCTCTCCCCCCCACCCCCTCAATACCCAGCAGAAACTATTTTGCCCTTATTTCTAATTTTGTTGTAGAGAGAGTATAAGCAATAATAGGAAGGAACAAGGGTTTTTGCTGGTTGAGATAAGGATAGCTATACGGGGAGTTGACTCACATTGATTTCCTGTGCGTGTGTGTTACCTTCTAGGTTAATTCTTTTTGATCTAACCTTTTCTCTAGTTCCTGGTCCCCTTTTCCTATTGGCCTCAGTTGCTTTTAAGGTATCTGCTTTAGTTTCTCTGCGTTAAGGGCAACAAATGCTAGCTAATTTTTTAGGTGTCTTACCTATCCTCACCCCTCCCTTGTGTGCTCTCACTTTTATCATGTGCTCAAAGTCCAATCCCTTGTTGTGTTTGCCCTTGATCTAATGTCCGCATATGAGGGAGAACATACATTTTTGGTCTTTTGGGCCAGGCTAACCTCACTCAGAATGATGTTCTCCAATTCCATCCATTTACCAGCGAATGATAACATTTCATTCTTCTTCATGGCTGCATAAAATTCCATTGTGTATAGATACCACATTTTCTTAATCCATTCGTCAGTGTGGGGCATCTTGGCTGTTTCCATAACTTGGCTATTGTGAATAGTGCCGCAATAAACATGGGTGTGCAGGTGCCTCTGGAGTAACCTGTGTCACAGTCTTTTGGGTATATCCCCAAGAGTGGTATTGCTGGATCAAATGGTAGATCATGTTAGCTTTTTAAGTAGCCTCCAAATTTTTTTCCAGAGTGGTTGTACTAGTTTACATTCCCACCAACAGTGTAAGAGGGTTCCTTTTTCCCCGCATCCTCCAACACCTGTTTTTGGTGTTGCTAATGATGGCTATTCTAACAGGGGTGAGGTGGAATCTTAGTGTGGTTTTAATTTGCATTTCCTTTATTGCTAGAGATGGTGAGCATTTTTTCATGTGTTTTTTGGCCATTTGAATTTCTTCTTTTGAGAAAGTTCTGTTTAGTTCACTTGCCCATTTCTTTATTGGTTCATTAGTTTTGGGAGAATTTAGTTTTTTAAGTTCCCTATATTCTGGTTATCAGTCCTTTGTCTGATGTGTAGCTGGCAAATATTTTCTCCCACTCTGTGGGTGTTCTCTTCAGTTTAG